TTCCATGAAAAATTTCCTAATTTACCTGTTTTACTCGCAGTTGAGGTTCATAATTAGCCCGGTTATGCTTCTTCTAATCAAATAGCTATACCTTCATTCACCGCAGCGAATAGGCCTCATCACGGTTTTCGACGGCATCTTGACGAATAGGCAACCGCGTGAGAAATTACATTGTTTGTATGAGAATCTAATGTCGAATAAGTTGAATGTGAGTTGTCAGTGAGTTGTTAACTAAAGCTTCACGGCAAAGGATTTTACTCACAAATTTTCGGTGCAGTTACTGTACTTAAATTTCTCCAGACACTTGCGTTAGACTTTTTAATTATTCTACAATTTTTCAGGGGAAATTTTAGTCGGCAGGAAGAGACATTTTTACAGACAAATGTATGGAAAATTTTTAGAAATGGTTCTACCGCTTTTCGCTGTATGTAACGCCCTCACATTTTTTTAGTAAAATCGTTAGCAATGAAGTTTTAGTTTACAATTCATATTTTTTCAGAACAGCCGTTTGAAAATTATTCGACATTAGATTCTCATGATACAAACACTGTAATTTCTCACGCGGTTGCCTACTCGTCAAGATGGCGTCGAAAACCGTGATAAGGCCTATTAACTTGAGGAGATTTTGCCCTACTGTTATTGGAAGATTTTTTTTGAATGGTATTCCTCAATCAGTCAGAGATAAACCGACTAAAAACGTTTAAAAAGGCACTTTTGCATTGGTATCTGGCTCAATAATAGAGAAACATCTATTTTATATTTATATTTATAGTTTCTTATATTACGTTATTTTATTAGTTGAGCAAGTTTTTGTTCGTGCCAACTTATAAGCACCGTTCAGTCACCGTTTATTGTCTTTATGTAATTTTTTTAAAGTCTGTAAGTACCTATTTAAGTCTTATTTTTGTTACGCCGAGTGCAAAAAAAAACCTGCTAATGCAATTTTCCTCTTACTTATAATCTACATTTTTTGTTCATACCCGAAAAGGTTGATTTCGCCAAACAGTCAAATACCAATGATGCAGGCCAAACAATGTTTTGAAACGCTTGTGCTGTTTTTGATCTGCCAGACAGCAACTTTGGGGACAAATGATACAGGTAATAAAAGAACTTTCTTTCATATTAAACCACTGTTTCAAGCATAGTTTTTTTTTTAAAGTCAAAAGCCGCAGTTGTATAAATAAGTGTATACAAACTCTCAGCCAATGCAGATAATGCAATAATATTCATCTTACCAGGCATGCCTACTTCAAACTTAAAAACTATCGATTCCTCTGAATTTCTTCTTTCATGAAGTATTATTACAGTACCTAAAAACCTTTATTTATACAATTTTGTGGGGTCGGGGTCACACTAACCCTAACCCTAAACCTAAAACAGCATTCGTTAAAAAAAAGATATACCCCGAACCCGACCTCGCGGTTTACTGAGACCTGTTTATATGTGGGTTAAAAACGACGTCACCGTTTTTCTGAGATTTTGCTATCTAAACTTTCCTTGTAATACTTTGCATGGCTATAATTTGCATTCACAGCCTTCCAGATCAACTGCAGGTGGTGTTGCTCTTTACACCAGCAAATCACTGAATGCTGTCAAAAGAACTTATCTTAGTGTAACTGATGAGGAATTTGAAACTGTTTGGATTGAGATTAAGAATATAAAATCAAAAAGTGTTTTGTGCTGTTATGCCTATAGGAATCCTTCGTCCTCTCCTGAAAGATTCACTGAGCATATTGAGACCATATTGCATAACTTAGCAAGAGAAAATAAGAATATATTTACACTAGGTGATTTTAATATTAACCTACTAAATTGTGTAAGCCATCCTACTTCTGAAAATTTTCGCAATATGATGAACTCTAATTACCTATTGAGTTATATTCTCCAACCAACCCGTGTAACCGATAGAAGTGCCACTTTAATTGACAACATTTTTGCCAACACTCTCAACTTTAATGCTCTTAGTGGAAATCTAGTCACCAAAATATCTGACCATTTCCCACAGTTTCTGATTATTGAAGATCTTAAAGTAAATTATGCCACCCTTAACTATTACAAACATGACTATTCTCATTTCAGTGAGGAAGCTTTTGTTGACGAAGTATCTCACCTTGATTTCTCTCCTATTTACAATAGTAATTTGAACTCTAATGGCAAGTTTGATCTTTTCTATGACCAAATCGATTCTGTTTGTAAGGTTCATGTACCTTATAAAAGGCTTTCCAAAAAGGAGGTTAAAATATCCTCCAAACCTTGAATTACTAAAGAAATCTTTGCTAAAATGAAGTATAGGGATAAACTATATTCCAAATTACTGAAAAGTAGACAACCAAATCCTAACAAACTTCATTATCTGTATAAGAAATTTAGGAATAGGGTTGTTAAAGATCTGAAAGATAGTAAAACCTCATATTTTAATCAATATTTTTCTTTAAATAAGCATAACATGCAAAAGCTATGGTCTGGTATTAGATCGATCTTAAACGTTGGGTAAATGTAAAAACAGCTACATAACTTCCATTTAAATAACAATAAGTCTGTTGGCAATCCTAAAGACATTGCAAACATCTTTAATAACTTTTTTGCAAATGTTGGTAAAACTACAGAGAAGGGAATCCCCCGAGGAAGTCACAGCCCTTCATTCTACGTTAACGGTAACTACTTAGGATCAATTTTTTTATCCCCTGTCACTTCGCATGAAATCTGGACTTTTATTGGTAAAATGGATGCTAGCAAATCTTCTGGCCCATACGGTGTACCTGTTACCATTTTGAAAACTTTTAGGGACTATATATCTGAGCCTCTTGCATTTTTAGTCAATGATTCCTTTGCTAGTGGTAATTAAAATTGGCAAGGATTACTCCTGTTTTTAATAAAGGCTCAAGATTTGACAAAGACAATTATAGACCAATTTCTGTACTTTCCAACTTTAGTAAATGGTTTGAAAAAGCTATGTATCATCGCCTCTACAGTTATTTGGAAGAACTAAAAATACTTTATCCACTTCAGTTTGGTTTCAGAGAAAAATGTTCGACTACCCATGCTCTTATTTCTATCACTGAATCTATTCGCCAGTCCATTGATAATAATAAATTTGGCTGTGGCATATTTATAGATTTGAAAAAGGCATTCGATACTGTTAATCATGCAATCCTTTTAACTAAGCTTAACCATTATGGAATAAAAGGTGTCGTGCCTGATTGGTTTAAATCTTACTTATCCCAAAGAGAACAATTAGCAAATGTTAATGGTCATAACTCGCTTTCCTTACCAGTCACTTGTGGTGTTCCACAAGGATTTATTCTGGGACCCCTTTTATTCTTATTATATGTAAATGATTTACCCTATACTTCTAGCTTACTAGCATTTCATCTATTTGCTGATGATACTAATCTTTATTTTTCTAGCAAAAAACCTTAGTCACCTTGAAACAAACCTAAATCATGAACTAAAATCTGTTCCCGAATGGATGAAATGTAATCGATTAGCACTTGGTACCTCTAAAACTAACTTCATTCTTTTTCATTCCAGTATACGTAAACCTAATCAGTCATTAAGAATTATAATTGATAATGCACTTATTAAACAAGTTGGCTCTACTAAGTACCTAGGCTTAACATTTGATTCCATCTTAACTCGGAAAAGTCATGTTAATGAGCTTTATTTGAAACTATCAAAAACAGTAGGTATCTTGTCAAAAGTGGGACATTTTGTTGACAATCATATTCTTGTCATGCTTTATTACTCTCTTATCTATCCCTTCCTCTGACTTATGGTGTCCATGTCTGTGGTTTAACCTTTCCCTCATTTCTAACACAATTATTTATTATCCAGAAAAAAAGCTTTCAGAATAATATCTTTCTCCGAACCAAAATCCCATTCTGGGCCTCTCTTCAAATCTCTCAACCTACTTAAACTCAATGATGTCATTGAATCACAGATACTCTTTTTTGTTTATCAGTGGTCATGCAGACTGTTACCCCCCCCCCCCCCATTCCCCCCCCCCCCCCCCTATTTTACTTCTTCTGTTCATTCCTATTCAACAAGGCAATCATGTAATAGAAATCTTTATGTAACCTCAGTTAATACTACCCAATATGGCTTACGCTCCCCAAAATTCACTGGTCCTCGCCTTTGGAACTCCTTGCCTACAAGTATAACTAATTGAATTCTCTTAAAATATTTCGTAAAACCTTAAGAACTTTATGCTCAATTTATTCTAATTAATTATCTGCCTTAGCGCATGAAGAAATACTTTTTATAAAAAATATGTATATATATCCCGTATTCTGTCTGTAGTTGTATTTTACTGCAGGGGTCATCCACTAGATTAGTAGTCTGCTACACAGCCGTTTTTAGTATCGTCACGCAACGCTCCTCCCCACTACGATTTTCAGCAACCGTTAGTGGGTTGGAGCGTCGCGTGACGACACTAAAAACGGCTGTGTAGCAGACTACTAGATTAGCCTTTGCTATTTGGATGATCCCAACTCGCTCTCCATTTTGTATTCCTTAGTTGTACTGTGTTAAGATGCCTATGTAAATATAACCTTTATGTCATGTAAAACTGAGCTGAGTTTAATAAATCGTGTTGTCTTGTCTTGTCTTGTCTCAGAATAAATATGACTTTAATCTTTATAAGTTCTTCAAGCGATTAATTCTCACATTTGTAGAAAAACTAAAAAACAGATGTTTCTGTTGGTTTCCGGGACACCAACATGGCGTCTCCATACCCCCGCTCCATTCAAAGCTTTATAAATTTGGATAAAACGATTTCCAAATATCTCGCACATGAAATATCGCACAGACCTGATTCTAGGTAGGCTTTTTGTATATTTATCTTTTTTCACTTCCCAGATTCTGGAATTTCTGTATTGAATGGTTTGCATTTCTACTTCTGATTGCGTGACAGTGAAAAACAGAGAGAATTCCTGACGTTTTTTCAACTTTCGACTGATCCGAAATATCCGGTTTGATTTTTAGCAGCACTTCAGAAAAGAATGGTGTATGCCGACTTGGACGCTTTTGACACTAACATAAACAACTGTCTCTTTTGGCGATGGACAACTTATGGTGCTGGAAAAGGCAACAAAGCCGTATTAAACAAATTGGTTAATTGTGAAGAAAAAAAAGGTCGACTCCAGGGACGCTGTTATGGCACTCCTTGGCCTACAGATCCAATGAAAAGGAAAGAACACAGAGCGCAGTTTGCCGTTTGTTACGACACGTACACACGTATTCCGAAATTTACCGGGCACGTGCTTAAACCGGGTGTCTTAGAAGGGGCAAGGGGATTAGAAGGGGATTATGTATTTCACGCTGATGCTTCTTTTGGAGGTAAGTAATTCAACTAATTAAAGTTTTATAATAACTATTTCTCGCGCACTGATTAGCTAATGTTGATGCGGGAAGTTTGATACAAAAAAAATTAATTTATGCACGTAGGGTTGTCAAGGCTTGCAGTGGACAGCGCTTAAAAAAAAACCTTACGTCTTTTCAAGTGCGAATTTTTCTTTTCTAAGTTTCTATTTCATTCAATTTGTTACTACAGTCGAAGCTCTCCTTACGACCACTCTCGTAAGCGACCAGCTCTAGTTTCGACCACCTTTGTGAAACCCCGTTTGAACTGTGACTTAAACTTGTAATGAAAAGCTCTCGTAAGCGACCGCGACCACTTTTGGGATTATTCAAATAGACTTTTCCTATGTTTTTAAGCTCTCGTAAGACCACTGAAGGTCTTATTCATAAAAACCTACACTTAAATGAAACTGCACACTGCAGTAATGGTTCGTTAGTAAACATCTTGGGGTATTTTGGTCTAAAAAATTGGCCGTAAAGTTCAGCTGTGTCTATATCAATTAAGACACTCATTAAACATAAAATTTCTTTTGTTTTTCTTTATGAATTATTCATGGTTTTTGAAGCTTTGGTAAGCAAGTTCTCTGTTTGTTTGTTTTGTTTGTATGTTTAATCTTATTCTTATACTTATAGCTTATACTTATAGTTATATCTGTTATATCTAAAAAATGTCAGTCTCTCTCACTGACTGTTAATTTAATGTCCCTTCTTACTGGAGAAGTAAAATCTCACCTAAAAAAGAAATCCTTGATCGCACGAGCTTCCAGTTGATAGAAAAAGATATCTTAAAGATGTCAAAAGTGAACCTTTCCTCATTAGTCTGGAAAATAAGACATTTTAAGGGACAGTTTTAGTGTTAGCGTCACCGATTGCAAAGCTATTTCCCCAATTCACTCCAATTTTCATTGCCATTGGTCTCCCAAATACAATCCAAAACAATATTCCTCAAAGAAACGAGGTCCTGCAACCTCCAATGTAACTGCTTTCTTATATACTTGGAACATTAACAACAGAGTGTTTCATTGCTTGCATGCAAACTGCACAAAAAAACTGCATCCCAGTTCGGTAACACATCAAACTTCAAAACAACCTCAGCCCCCTGGAAGTTAACCAGGCTACTCCAAATGCATACCAGCTGATAGCCCTGTGTCTGTGCAACAAGCTGGACCCCACCTCCATAAAAAATGTGTTGCCTCAACGGGGGCAACAGGGTTGCCCTGCGGGCTGACCTGTTACCCCCCTTGAACATTTTTTTTTTCAAGAATTTGCACTGATTTCTGTTAGTCTGCAAAACAGTCCGTATTTTTGCGTATTCAAGTACGCGCGAGCAGTCAAACAAAAGGTCTGGAACGAGGCTGGAAACAGAGAGCGAGACTGGGGAGAGACGCTAAAAATACGTTTTTTTTTTCTCGCGCCTCACACGCCCTACGGGCGTGTAAGACTCTTACGCCACCCTTTACCGTTTTGTTTACTGATTTTGAGAAAAAACCGTCTGTTTTGCAGTCTAAATTTCTGTCAATTCCAATAACTTATTTGGAGCCCGTGGTCAAGGGCTGAGAATGGTTAGTCCTGAAGAGGGAGATTTCATTTTGACACTAAAAGCATCTCGGCTTCAGTAAGCAAATTATGCTTTGATAGATTGTCTGCAAGGACCTGGACTTTACTTCAGATCACAGTCAACTCGGTTTTCAAAACTCCCGTCAAAACTCCAGGTGACTTATACTTATACTTCACAGATCCAAAGACAATAGCACAACATGCTGACTACAATATAAACCTCCAAAACAAGCCTGCTATCATGCCGATCAATTACAATTCCCAAGGTCAGCAGTTCTGTGCTAGAGGTCATTTGACTCCAAATGGGGATTTCTCAGACCCCCTCGAACGTGAGCGCACCTATGTAACAACCAACATTGCACCTCAATGGCAGCCGTTCAATGGTGGCAACTGGGCCGTGTTAGAACAAACTATACGAAAATGTGCAACTTCAACCAATCTGTTTGTGTTCACTGGGACAAGTAAGTAAAAAAAAAAAAAAAAAAATGCAAATAGAACTCTCGTGACTGAAGGTACAGAAAATATACAATAAACATAACAAAAACAAGTACCAAACAGTAACAGATGACGAAAACAAAAAAATCACCCACAACGAAGAACAAAGGAGATAAAAAACAAAAAAAATTTCTCAGCCCCCCCCGAAAGTGAGCGCACCTATGTAACAACCAACATTGCACCACAAGGGCAGCCGTTCAATGGGGGCAACTGGGCCGTTTTAGAACAAACTATACGAAAATGTGCAACTTCAACCAATCTTTTTTTGTTCACTGGGACAAGTAAGTAAAAAAAAAAAAAAAAAATTGCGAATGATAGCTTGTTGTCGTCAGTGTCTTTAACTTTCCTCTATTTACTAGAAATACGTGTCCCATACAGTACCACGTGAATCCTATATAAGGATGGACCAACAGTAAGAACAAAGGTAAAACAAACAAAAAAAATTGGAATAAAAAAATACAAAGAAACAGCAGCAACAACAAAACAAGGTCTCAGCCGAGATTCGAGTCCGCCCGCAACGCCCCGTAGGAAAACAAAGATGTTCGATGATATGGATATTCTTAGCAGATCAGCACTCCTGACCTCTCGCGGTCTAACTTAAAGTATTTTCCCGAAGAAATTCTGCCGGAAAACTCCGGTTACAAAAAATCTAGTCGAGCCGTAACATTAAATCAAAGATAGATTTCACGAAAAGCACGTTTTTGACGCTGAAATCCGAACTTAAATGCATTACCGTGATCACGTTTGAGAAACAACGGAGTTGAAATTTCATCTTTGCCAGGATTTAGCGTCTACGATGTCGAGTCCTCTCACATTTTAAAAGAATGAGAAGTGAAGACTGTTCAGTTTCTTGGCGGGGAATGTATTTAATGAACGTTATTTGGTTCAAGGATACATATAGACGGCATCTCCATCTTTCAGGCAGGGGCACCCAACGGCAATTTTCGGGAAAATATCTGTTCGGAAGACGATTTGAGAACTAGAATTTTCGGAACATTTGTTGTAAAATTTCTTTCTTGCCTGCCTCTCCTAGGATTTTCGAACATCTACAAAATGGTATAATTACCCATTTTAAACGGATTTTTACCCAAGAAAGTTCACCTAGAATTTTCGAGAGCCTTTTGGGAGCCATTTTCTAGATGTTCGAAAATCATAGGAGAGGCAGGCAAGCAAGAAATTTTACAACAAATGTTCCGAAAATTCTAATTCTCAACTCGTATTCCGGACACATATTTTCCAAAAATTGACGTTTCTTGCCCATGATCTCTATTACCTGACACATTAAGGTCTGTTTTCATTTTTTTCCTTCCTTTTTTCGTTTTTCTTTCTTTTCATTCTCTTTTATTTATAGCGTATAAAGTTTGAATGTTCCCACTCGTATGTTTCATCGTTATTTAGGCGACTTTACTCTAGAAACTCGGTTTTATTTAAGCTTACAATCCTTGTTTCCTTCGACTCTTGTAGAAAAGTGGTCAAGCCTTTCTTCTGGAGTACAAATACCGTGAAATATTTGTACTCGTTTTGAGCGTTATTCGTTCTCTATTGAGTCAAGTTGCATAAATATAAGTTGAAATCTATATGGGTCATCCCAATTTGCAGTCCGCTACCGACCATCCCAGCGCGACCCAGGAGTGGCGTGAGCGACAAATATGTAAACTTTGGCTCCACCGCAGGCTTTCGGCCTCACTTTGTGAGGAACAACGCCAGAGGCATTTGTTAGTCTGCGAAGGTGGCGGGATTAGCGGGCGAGTGCTGCATTACTTTGGGAAGGTCTGAGAGGGGTTTAGTATTTAGTGTTATTTGCCCACAATTTTTAGAGTATGCTGTTAAATTCGCCAATTTTTTAATGTTTACTGTTTTCGGAGAAGGTTCTTCGGACATCTTCGCAGTCTTCGGACATCTTCGGTAGTCACGTCTTCAGAAATCTTCGGCAGTCTTCGAGAAACTTCGGTAGTCTTCGGGAAACTTCTGAAATAATCGGAAATTGTCGAAAAATGGCCCGAAAACTCCTTCATATGCATGTACTGAACAGAATAATATTGGCGTTTTTGGAGCCGTTTTTGTTTCTTTCTGGAAAAAATTACTGTTATAGTGAATTTTTCACTGTTAGGTGTTAAAATGCCTAAACTTTAACTGTTTAATGTCACAGAGCGAAAAAATTAAGTGTCTAGTATTATCGAGGTACCCCCATTCAGACCCTCCTTTGGCGGGTGGGGTAGCAAGAAAACTGGGGACAAGTCGAATTTATAGCTGACGTCAGCTGACGTAGCTGACGGGATTAGCGGACTAGTGCTGCCAAAAAAGTACCCCGGATATACCAATCCCACGGCCAGCTACGCAGGCTGAGCGCTAGCAATTCTTTGAGCTACACACGGTATGTATCGATAAAAATGCGCGTGTTTTGTTTTGTGTTTTGGATTTGTTGTTGTTGTTGTCGTTGCATCAACAGAAAGCTTTTCGGACAGATACAGCATTAAAGCCATCCCAGCGTTTTTTACCGCGATCAAGAGAGGATAAAAAAAATTCACTATAACAGTAATTTTTTTCCAGAAAGAAACAGAAACGGCTCCAAAAAGGCCAATATTATTCTGTTCAGTACATGCGTATCAAGGAGTTTTCGGCCATTTTTCGACAATTCCCGTCTCCTGTTGCAATTTATTGTATAGTTAACATAGAGCAGCTTTTGCTTGATCTTGTTTATATATGATTTTACAACTGAAGATAAAGAAGAACATTCCGAACTGATTGTTAAAAACAAACACGTTGGAGATTGCAGTCTGCCAAATGACACCAAACTTGAAACTAATGCTCAAACAGCTGTGAGAAACGTTTTTAAGTTCTTGGAAATATAAAGTCAAATCCGGATTAGACTAATTTTGACCTATATATGATCGTTACACTAAGTGCTTTTGAGACTTCAGTGCAATACATGTTTTATATACCTACGTGTATTTTCATTTTTATTCATATTACACAGGTATAAATCTATTTCATCAGTTATTCTATGATGAATGTAGAGCTGCTATGTAGAAAAGTCATCAAAAAACCGTTTATATTAAAGGAGCAGTGTCACAAAATTCAGACAAATTAGGTAATTACAAAATGCCCGTTAAATTAAGAGAAACATAAAAATAACCGCTTAAAACATTAAAGGAAGGTTAAAATAACACAACAGAAACACTAGATTCCACGGATGGGCAAAACTGAAGAAGATTGAAATGGATTGAAATTAGGGTTTTTGAAAACTGTTCAGCCTAACAGTTTTTTAAAGTTGATCCCTGCTGCAAGCAACTTCAAAAATAATGCTCAGGAGACATATTTGTTTGTTTCGGATCTCTGATTTTGTCATTTACATGTAATTTCTTTGCTTACTTTAAGTTCCATAGTGATTGAGGGCGAGTAATTGGCAAAATTAATCAAAATGAACCGCACTGCCGTGACACAGCCCCTTTAAATTATTATTATTATTAGTTACTGCCGCGCACAAACACGAAACAAAGCTATTCATTGTGGTCGGATGTTCAGTTAAAAGAACATGAAAGAAGCAGGAAAGAAGTTTTTGAGAGCTAAAAAATTTTCGTCTGGTAGTTTATTAAAGTTACAGCTTTAGTTTACTTCTAATGAATAACGTTTATCGCGTTTTTCTAAGTTAAGTTTGTCTGGGTTTCTTTTCAAGGTGGGGAAGCAAAGGATTTGAATGGAGCTACAATCTGGCTAAACCAACGAGTTCTGGCCCCAAAGTACTATTGGAAGGCTGTGTGTGACCCAGTCAAAATGCAATCTATTTTCTTTTACGCTGAAAACAACATCGGTAACGTGGATAAAGAGAAAGATAACAAAAATGGTTGCTTTAAAAAGCCCCAAACGAAGAAAAATGGTGTAATAATGTGTTTCAGTATCTCTGATGCCAAGCAAAAGAATCTTTTTGGCAAATTACCAGATTTTCACGACAATTGCAATCCTAGTAAAATTGGTAGTATTTTTAAGGGCCGTATTGACGAGGCGAATTTTTCCTGAAAATGATTATAGTGGGGCACCTGTCTTGAATGTTGACGGCCAAAAAATTAGCTTCAGTTTTTGACGGTTGACGACTAATTTTTTCGAGCAGTTTGACGGTCGATGAGTAATCCCAGTTTATTATTTATTATCATTTAGTGATGACGTCATTTTCCAAAGGCAACACGTGAAAGATCATTTTGCTCCTAAGCATTCTATTGAAATTATGTATGTAATAAAAGAATATTCATTGGAATAAAGAATTACTAACTCTTTGGTTTTAGCCGGTTTTTTAATGGCTCAATGTGTGCAAAATTACGACCAACCAGCGGTTACCCCTCTGGCAATTGTTCAAGCATTGATTAAAACGCCGTAAACGCAATGAATGCCGGTAGTTATTTAAAAGTCGAGAAGGCTGTCGACCATAGATTAATTCGCTTTGATATCAGTTTTTCTATGTATATTTCCGTTTCCAACTCTATTGAAAAGTGGACCGTATGTAGGCACCTTTCCACAACGTACATGTAGGGGGCTCAGTATTTTTAGTCGTACCGGGCTTTGAATCCTCTACATTTCTTGGGCTTTTGTTAAACCACCTTCTGGTGATGGCAATTAGATTTATCTGTTTCAAGATTTATCTGTTTTAATTAAAATCGCTGATTGGTTTTTGTGTACTATGTTTTCATTTATCCAATCCTTGGGGGAAATAATTTTTTAATGGTCAACCAAAACTTGGCTCTAGCCTGAGAGAAAACAGCCGACATTTCGCGACACCACCACTAATGTCCCCGCGAAATGACGTCTGCATGCATGAGAAACGAGCGCAGAATTCGAAACTCCATACTGATGACGCCGCACTTCCCAGAACTGGGTAGTTCTTCTGATTGGTTGTGGCAAATTTTTAGCCACTACACAGATCTTGTTAGTGACTCGTCATCAGTATGGAATTTCTGCGCTCGTTCGTCAACAACAACAACAACTCAGACGTCATTTCGAGGGGACACCAGTGGTGGCGTCGCGATATGTCGGCTGTTTTCTCAGGCTAAAACTTATCTCAGGTTGCATTTTCTGTCGCAAGATCACGATGGAATTTGTTTTTACATTTTTCAATCATACAATTAACTTTGTTTCGTTGCCGTTTCTAAGAAGACCAATGATTTTCCCAGTTTGTTTTTCTCACTTTTCTGAGGAGTCTATCTGTAGTGTTTATTTCCTGCTTAACACTCTTTATGAGACATGGGCAGAGTACTGTTTTCCTTTGATATCTTTTTAATGATAGGTGTGTGTGATCATCAATGCATTGTGCGACCTTAGCTTCAATATCCAAACGATTGCGACCTACTAGGAGCTTCACATCGGCTATTACGTGTTTTTTATGGTAAAACGTCGCTTCCGAATTAAAGCGTGACTTAAATCCAACGCAAGGAAACGCTAATAAAAGATATAGTCAACTAAGACGGATACCTTTAGGACCGGCATCAGTTAAGTGTCCGTCTCAGAGAGATGTCCATCTTATGGAGGGTCAAATAAAGGGAGTAAAGAATGGCAGGGATCAACTCTAGGTGTCTGTTTTACAGAGGTGTCCATCTTATAGAGAGTCAAATAAAGGGAGTCAAGAAAGGCAGGGATCAACTCTGGGTGTCCTTTTTACAGTGACCGTTAATAGAGAGTCGACTGAAATTGTTATTGAAGTTCAGTTTGCCTAAACGGACAAAGGTCGATTACCCAGAGGGCCCGAGGGCGGGCCCAAGTTCGGTGAATAAATTAGTGCGTTTTGATACTGTTTTGCATATTACGAACAATTTGTGGACTTTAGAAATTCAATATAGTTGTCAAAACGTAGAAATATAGGCATAAATATAGAGTTAAAATTCACTTACGTAAACTTGGGTTTGTTGTTGCCTTTTCTGTGTAACCTATGCTCAATTCATGGCCATTTTATACGGTTTTGCTTCTCGTTGTTTCTTCTCGTCGGTGTTGCTTTCCAACATAATGCGAAGCAAGGAAAATTACAATGTGCAGTCTCAACTCAAAAACTTCTCCCGCATCAAAGAACAGCGTACCGATACACCATAAAGCGCCAGATCCTAAAAGGCCAGATAGGTCTCTCATCTCTTCCCCTCGTCATGGCGTGCTTTCAGGAAACTCGATGACTAAGCGCTGCGTGGTGAACGCGTTCATTCGCCATTTCCACATTTTCCACATAAGGCACCTTATTCGCCCCCCAAAATTTAGCATAAGCATTGTTTTCAATTTCTCTTGGGACGGCTGTAATACCCAGGAGAAATGAAAATAAAGGTTATGTAAAAATTTGGGGGGCAAATAAGCAGGTGCATTATGGTAAATGTGGAAGTGGCGAATGGACTCTTGGGATCTGGATTATCAATATTGCGTGAAAAAACATGGATCTTAATTCCCACCCTCAGATAGTCCACAAATTGCGCTTGAGTGGTGTTTGGAATTATCCACCGAGATAAGCGCACGAGTTGTTGCCTCGAGCTGACTTGGTCGACAAAATACAGTGATTTGTATGAAATTATCCGTCCAAGCTTGATCTAGTTTTATTGTGACTGTTTCCCGCAGCGGAATGCTAGCCCGTATACAGCCACCTCCCCCCCTCAGAAAAACAATCGATTTTTGTTCTGCACACTGGTTAAGGAATGCGGAAAAAGTCTATTTTCCTTTCCATAGCTAGAAAAATTTTGATGCTTATTATGCTATGTTACGAAAAAATTTAGTAACTTCCTCGAGAATCCCCGCGCGATATTTCTTCCGCTTTTAAGGTCTTTGTCGATTCTTAACTGTACAGAATTAATTTTGAACAGCAGTATAGTATAGAAAAGCAAACGTCTGAGCTGAAAACTTTAATTTTAAAATTTATTTGCAGAACTCTGGTTCACCAAACTTTTTCAGGAACAAAACATCAAATAATAATATGAAAAAAATGTGAAAGGGATGTTTTTGAATCTACTTAAGTAGACACTTGTTTTATGATAAAAAGGTCTCATCTAAAAATTCTCGTGCAAAGAACTTCCCAGAAACCTGATCTAAAAGTAAATGAAGTTCTCCTTTTACTCTGTTAAAAATCTCGTTAAATCAGATTGACATTTTGGTTTTTATCGTTACAATATATTAAGTAGTATTTTGAAGGCGTTGCAGTAAATCAATGTTAATAAAAGTTAAACTTTTACACATCCTGAAGTTTAATAAGGTTTATTTAACAATTAGCTCCTGCTTCAGTGTGCTTATGTTGAGATTTAATCACATAACAAACGTAAACCGCGCCCTCTAATTGGCCAATTGCCCATTGACTAATTGACTACGGCGACTCTCACGCTTCTTTCGTGCTTAGCAACCTCCAGCATGCAACTATTTGAACATTAGTAAAATCCAACTAGTGGTCTATTATCAATGCTGCGTTCTGATTGGTTAAGCTATACTAGGCTATATGTTATAGCCTACTAGTAGCGAAAAGAGCGCGCTTTTTGGCGCAAAAAAGGATTTAAGTCTAGCTTTAACTAGCTAAATTTTTTTTATTCTCGATAGTTTGACCAACTAGTTGGATTGTACTAAAAAAAGTTATTCCTCTCGCCCTCATGGCCTCTAAGTCAATAGCCCATGAGGCCGAAGGCCGAATGGGCTACTGACTCAGAGCCCATTCGGGCTCTAGGAATAATTGTTAACTAGTATACGCTGAGTCATTTACCATTTGTTATTTGTAGCACGCTCGCGCTATAGAGCGTTTTCACATGACGTCACGGCGGCCGTATTGGTGTACCAAAACAATGAAACGGCGGCCATGTTGTTGTTCCAAACCAGTCCTGTGGGAGTTGAATTCTTTTCTTTTGCAAACGCTTTCTTTTTTCCAATAAATTTGCATAGATGCTGGTCACGTGAGTGAAAACGCTCTATCGAATTTGATTAGGCGAATATTCTAGCTATATTATAAACAGAATTCTATCATATGGAGCTGTTCCAGAGGTACACTGAAAAGCGTCCAAAGTCAAAATCTAGAATTAAGTTGCACTATAACCCTTTAAGCCCAA